CCAACAAGTGGGTTGAATCAGAATGCTTTCAATCAGGTGTGATTGGGCCTCTGCCACTCATACCTGTCAGCGAGATGCAGAGCTACGATGTGGACAACAAACCAGCACCAGGCCAACGAGTTGCTGAGAGCCTTTGGCCTGTTTGACGGTCATGTCACCTTTTAAAAGCGGTTGTTTTTTTTCCAATTCCCTTGGCTTGAAGCCTCCGATGTTTAAAAGCTAAGGAAAGGCATTCCGTGCCACCGGAAGCTGATCCAGGCCTACCTGTCAGGCATGAACTTTGAGGAAAAGGATATGGTCGTTTTCCTTGACCTTGTGCCGAACCAGTGCCTTGCTCCCGATTTTTCCCAGAATTGTTCGTTGTTTTGATTTGCTGGGTCTCGGGACAAGAAAAACAATTGTAGTCCAAGTCACTCAATTTGACCCTGTTGTTTTATCATACAAGGTCAATTGGTAGATAATCATATGGAAGGGTCAATTGGCCATTGATTGCAGGGTCACTAAGATTGTCAAAGAGGTCATTAGCCATCCTTAAGATCCGTCAGGTCTGATTTCCAAGCTTTGAAAAAGATATGTTTGGGATGAAAATAGCATGTTGACCCCAGGCCGCTTTTTTTTGACACACTTTGACATGCATTGACACGCACCACGGCAAAAATACTCCGAACTGCTAAGTGACATTTTTATATGCTAAGTGACCTGTTTCTCGTTACTCCCCACCCTTTGATGACACGCTCAAGACGCGCTTGACATGCATGAAAAAGAGGCAATCGCAATCCAAGTCCTCAACTACACTTAGCGTAAAACCTTTATCGAGGCTCCGTACAAGAAAACGTCATTGTTGGCAAACCGGCATGTCAAATAAGTGGCATTTTTGGGTCTAAGTGACCGTAAACTCCTGTCTCACTGTTTGTCAAAGCCACGAAGCCAGGTTTGTTGAGTTTGGCAGAGCTTGTGTGCAACGTGTGCTAGAAGGTGAAACCAGACCGCCCATCGTGTACTACGGCATGCTGAAGAAAGATTTGCACAAGTCAGTGGTTACGAGCATCGAGAGCGAAATCTTTTCTTACTGGGATTCTCTTCCGGATTCTCCTGCGAAGACACGTCCTCGAGAGGCTTCTGCATTCAGTGGAATTTCCGGGCTCAAGTTGATGAGCTGCGACAGCACTGGACGGCCTGGCTTTCCAGATCATGTCTTTGGCAAGTTCAAAGCAGGGAGTGAGCATCGGAAGCAGCTTGAAAAGATGAAGGCGGATTTTGCGGAGGAATTTGCTTCCACAATTTCTCAGCCGGTGTCTGGTGGCCGTACTGTGGCCAGGGTGGCCGGATCTCCCGATTTCACAGTGGATGGGGTAGAACCACTGGATGTGAACCGTGTGGTGGACTTGCAAAAGGTGTCCCCACCAGAAGCTGCTCAGAGGCTAGGCGATTTTGAGCTGCTTTTAGGTTGTGATGATTTCAGGGTCCCCGAACAGTAAAAAATATAAGTATAGTGAGCTTCCACATGATGTTGCCAAGTATTATCCTGATCCTGTGAGACCCGGCCCGGATTGCTGGTCGAATTTGTGATGAAAAAGCCACTTTACATTTTTAGATATTATGCATAGGGCGAGATGGCCTTGCAATTTTTTGACGGCCCTGCCAGGGGATAGGGTGCCTCCATTTTAGAAAGAGAGAGAGAGAGTGAGAGAGAGAGAGAGAGAGGGAGGGAGGGAGGGAGGGATGGAGGGAGGGAGGGAGATTGATTCAGATAGAAAAAGATAGAGAAGAAGATAAAGAGAGAACGAGAGACAGAGAGACAAGGAGAGAGAGAGAGAGTTAGAAAAAGAACGTACACGCCCGCACCAGCATCACCTCAACATGTTTGCCAGCTCTCTGGCACTGGGCTTCCAAGGACCTTATTTGTTTAGAATGTCAGGAGTCGTTACTGAAAATTATGGAAATGCCAGAGGAATGCCTAATATTAACTTTGTTTTTGATGCAGGATAGAAAAATCCGGATCACGCAAAGTAGAGCTATTTACTTCCAGCAATCCACATGTGGACAGCAAGCGATCAAACTGTCGCATGAAAGGCAAAACTTAGATGAATATCATCCTGTTTCCCAGGAATCACAACTGTCATGTGCTGCTTCTCCCTGACGAGGTTGGCAACCATCACAGGGAAAAATGGCAAACCATCCATCATTGTGGACACTGACATGAACATCTTCATTGGCAATGAAGTGCAAGACACGCTCGAAATTAGTGGCTGTGAATTGTTCGGTTTTAATACCGGCAATTTCGACACGAAGATTTGCGATGGTGACAAGAGGCATGCGGCGGGCATAGCCTGGCGTGTGAACACCGACCTCGACTTGGTGTCGGACGCTAAGACTTTGCGTCCGGTATGTGGCCTCTTGCACAAATTCGCAAGCACGATGGGCCTTGCCGATGTGAGCATCCCTGACCATGTCATCTCTCCGAAGTTACACCCACCAGTCGCTTGGATGCCAGTTCTTGCTCTTGGTTCTGCAAGTTTCGATGTTTGATCAGGATTTGGGGTCTAGCTAGTTTTCGCACGCCCATGCGTGTGCATCCAGCCAGACACAAGAAAACAGTTCAAGTCAAAATGTCCACGACCGACAGATAGAATGCTCAGAGATTAATTCAGGTTTAATCGTATTCAATTCTAACCTAAATTTGACTTGAATCACACAGAATGTCAGGGGGGGCACAATTTGTTGTTTTGGAGTCTTCTTTCTGAGGCACCTGGCCAGGAAGCCGTTCCTGTGGCTTTTCGGTACAACATTGAAGCAGCTCGCTCCAGAAGCACAAACGTGTTCCGCCCGAATGTGCTCCAAGGAGAGCCGAGAGCGGCTTCGTTGGGGGCGCTGTGGATCGGGAAGTTCGAGAAGTTGCCTTCCTCCGAGCTGGTTGATATCGTTTGGGAGGCACCAGAAAGCAGTCGCCGCGTTTTTTGGTCCCATGAGTTGCTTGTCATTGTATGTCTTAAAGCATAGGTATTTCACATTTGGCTTTTGAGACGGCGCAGCTTTTTTGGGTTTGAGTGGCAGGTCCAGTTGCAAGGAACTGCGCTCACCCCGATGAAGCCGAAGGTTTTTTTGACATGCACCATGGTGCTGGGCCGTGATGAGTGGGTGAAGCTCGACTAGTATCTTGGGAGGCCTTTGCCCTGGGAGGTCGATGTCTTGACAACTTTACAAGGTTTTTTTGTTGCTTGAAACTTGGGAGATCTCTGGGCAGTTGCGAAACCGTGCCACGCAGGAGGTTGATGTCTCCAAACATATGTAGGAGTTTTCAGAGCGGCATTTGGCTGAACAAATATGTGCTTGAAACTTGAAAGACCTCTGGGCCTTAGCGAAGCCTTGGCGCACAGGGGGTCGATGCCTTGAATCCTAGGAGCCATTAAAGCGGTGTTTTGCTTTAAAGTGAGAAACCTCCTAGCCGGCTATGCGCTTGAAGCCTGACACTGACTCATCGTTGAGTCTGAGCCAGACAGGCTCAAGCCATTGGGCCTGAGTGCAACATTTAGTTTCGGGTTTATCCAACCACCCCCATATAGCTCTGATTTTGATGTCACAGGGGCAAAGACGAGCAAGCACTATGATCAGGCCCAATTGGCGACGTTTTTGATTTTCGGCAGCTGGCAGTTCCGACAGCAAGACGGTCGGAAAAAATGTTAAACATTCTTTGAACATTGAAGAATGCCTTCGATTTTTTCGGATTCGGTGAATGGCCAGCTTACGGAGTCTCATCAAAACTTGTTTCTGTGTGGGCTGCCTTTGGGCTATTTGCAGGAAGCTCTCGCGTCTGATTCTTGTGTGAGCGTCTGCTGCCGCCGCCGCATCATGCCTGTCTTTACTTTTGCGCCCGTGGACGCGCTGTCTGAATCAGAAGCAGAAGGAGAAGATCCTCCGGGTCAAGCTTCGGATGCCAAACCCAGTCCAAAGGCAGCCACTAAACCGAAGTCCACGCCGAAGGCGGCTAAAGCCGCGCCCAAGAAGAAGGCCAAAGCGAAGGCTAAGGCAAAAGGTAAAGGAAAAGCCAAGCCTGGTGGAAAGGCGCCGAAAGAGCCAGAGGTTGCCAGCTCTACCGCTGGCGCTGACCCGGAAGAGCCAGAGGTTGCCAGCCATGCTGATGGCGCTGAGCCGGAAGAGCCAGAGGTTGCCAGCCACGCTGATGGCGCTGAGCCTGGAGAGTCGGTTGATAAGAAGTTGCATGCTAGCAAGAAGGCCGGTGAAGAATGAAACGGCAGCCAGTCTGGTGTTTGGACCGGGATTCGTAGCCGAATTTGTTTGATTGACATTGTGATTTTGCCAGGCATTGAAACGCCCGGCAGCTGCTCCTCAGCCTTCGTCGGCAATCAAGCGCCCTGCTAGCGCTGTCCCAGGCTGATGGTTTCTGGCTGTCTGACTGCCCTTGTCGCTGTTAGTTTGCTGCTGCTCTTCAAATTGTTTTCAACCTCTGCTTAGTATCCTTTGGGTGCCGGCTTGTCATGCAAGGCTTGGATGTGAGCCAGCCCTACTATGACTGCAGATCTGAGAAGTGGGGTTTGCGGATCGGTGGAAAGCAATCGATCTTGGCAGCTTGCCAGAGAAGCAATGCTTTTTTTTTTGCGATACGCTGAGATTGCTGAGCAAAATAAAGAGCCGAGGTGGGCGGCAAAGGTTTTGATCGCCAGAAGACCAGAGAAATAACGGTTTGTTCCTCAGCCGGCCGGCTGCGCAGTGTGACAGCCAGTACGTCAGTTGCGTGTCGAAATTTGAGTACGGATCGGATTTGAAATTAGTTGATTCAGGTGGTTTGCCGCGAGCACCTGTTGAAGGGAGATTCTTTGGACGATGTCAAGCAGATGAAGGCTGACTTTTGGCCATTATGAGTCATGCATGAGTCATGCATTCAAAAAAATGATTCCAAGTAGTAAGCACCAATCAGTCCAGGAGCTGTATGAAATCGGATTGATTTTTTTTTGGCATCATCATGTCTGCTGCAGGACGCAATGCTGACAGCGCTCGGGACGGTCAATACCAGCAAAGGTGCGCCTTCACCCCGCAATGTGTTTTCAAGGATTGAGCATGTCGTAGGGTTTTGCAATGCAGTGCTGTGAGGCGATGATGGCTCGAAGAAGGATGAGGACAATAAGGAAACTGAGGACCAGGAAACTGAGGACAAGGAAACGGTCGCAGAAGCTCCTGAGGTGGCAGCAGCAGCTGCAGAATGTGAGGATGTGGAAGAGCATGGCGAAGAAGAACTTGCTGAGGAGGATGTTGAAGCCCAAGACGTTGATTAGATGTCTCACCGCAGAGTCGAAGAGATGCTGAGGTCCAAAAAAAATTCTTTGTGCGAATCGCACGGTGTCGTGATTGAGACTTGAAACCTGGAGTTTTGTGTTGACGGTTGTGGGAGAGAAAGCTTCGGAGCTCCGATTGTAGGTTCGTTTTTCGATTTGTCAAGTACAGTGTTTGCGAGGCCAACATCCTCGCTTTAAAGCCCGCATGCGTTTTTTTGTGGATCATGATTATGTCCATGGTAATGTCTAATTCCAACCTAAAGCGTAACTTTCACCACGCTTTGCATCACGCGGTAGGCGCTATCTGTTATGTGTTGGGGTTTTAATTTTATTTTTAAGCCCCCCCCAATAGGAAAGACTTTTTTCAAAGTTTTGCATGGTCGTGGAAAGACTTTTTCAAAGTTTTTCATGGTCGTCTAGACGTCCTCCGACTGTGGCGTTATAGTTGGGTCAAAGATGAAGCACACTGGTGATCACCATAGTCCCATATAAAAATAAGTAAGTAAATAAACAAATAAATCTATGAATGAATGAATAAATATAAATATAAATATAAATACAAATATAATAATATAATAATATCTATATCTTAGTCTAATCTAATTGTGAGGGGATTCAGTTCCAGACGGATCGATATAAAGATCCATTTTTATCTAGTGTGATTTCCATGGTGACTCCGACATGGTGCCATGAAGCCATTTGAGGCATCCCTTTGTAGGGAGAATGAGGACAGTTTGACGGAGAGTGAGCCCAATAGGAGCTCTTAGGGTGATGATGGCATTTGGCACACCCGCAGTCACAAGACATTTCCCTTTTACCTCCAGTGAGGGGTGCTCAAGGGGTTCTCAGTCAACCAGCCAGTCAGTCAGTCAATGTCCCACTGAGGGGCCCAGGCCCTCAGACCCCAGACCATTTCCAGACCCCAGATCAAAGGAAAATTCTTTGTTTGTATACTTGGCACCGCAGAACACCCAAGCTGCACTTATTGCTGGCATGACGCTACACTCGTTTGCCAATATCCAGGTGAAAACCAAAACGGCCCGAGCAAAAAACACCAGCACACCGGAACAGTTCGCTAAGTATCAACGACTACGGTGGCTGGTGGTGGATGAATCTTCGACGGTCGGGCTCGAAATATTGGCCACTCTTGAGAAACGCCTGCAGCAGTCTACCAGAGATCGGGATACGTGGAAACTTCGGCCAGGAGGAGAACGGAGGCCATTCGGAGGGCGCAACCTCATCTTGACAGGGGACTTGTGGCAGTTCCCGCCCGTCAAAGCCACGGCCATCTACCAGAACCCTTTTCAGTCAAACACAACCTTCCAAGTCAACGCACTGCATCAAATATGTTGGTCGCACACCTCGCTTGCCATCCCGCACCTCTTTGAACTCACCCTCGAACAGCGGTGCGAGGACGCCTGGCTCAGCCAAATTCTTCACCAGGCGAGGCATGGCAACATGTCGCAGGAAGTGTGGTCTTTCTTACATGGGTTTCCAACACTCCATGCGGGCTCGTGGTCCTTTCAAACCAATCAAGCCACCTGCGGCGAAAAAACTTGCAACAACCTACATCTGCAAGCCACCGCCCCCGACCAGTTGGAATGTGTCATTTGCCACCAAGAAAGGGCACGTCGGTGCATCGTAGGCAAAGACCCAAAAGCTGAGCATTTCCTCAACCACCGTTTGTGCATGGGTTGAATGCCGCCAAGTACATTGCAGCCAACCTTCGTGCCAAATGGGTAGCCACCACTCGCAAACACAAGTTGCTTTGGATCATTGCGCAAGATACCCCGCTTTTTCATGTGGAGGCCACGGAACTACAGGCCCGGCGCGAAAATTGGTTACAGCGCCATGACCAGTCCACCGGCGGTGTCGTGGGAATCCTACCACTTCTCCAGAACATGCCAATCCGAGTGACGCAAACTTTGTCTGACCTGAAAGCCTTCGGGCTCTTTAAGAACACCCGAGGCACCCTTTGGAATTGGACACTCCACGAGGCCGACCAAGAGCTCGTGGGAGCTGTAGCCGGCCAAGACATTGTATTACAATGCCTTCCACGGGCGCTGTATGTCAAGGTCGAAGGTGCGAAGTGGCAACAGCACCCAGACTTGCCCGTTGGGGTCGCTCGAATCGAACCCGTCACCCAGACGTGGACACTCGAAACCAACGGCAAAGCTACAGTCTCCCGACGCGGCTTTCCAATAGCATCCGATTACGCTGGCACAGCGCATTCTTTTATGGGGGCCACCCTAGGTGCATGCACCTTAGACCTTGGTACCTGGGATGCCACGACGTCCCGCGAGGCACAGCTTAGCGGGTACATGTGCCTGTCCAGGGTCCGAAAAACCGAAGATTTGTGCATAGTCCAACCCTTCTCCCCCAACTTGTTTAGTCACGGAGAGTTAATTGGACCCCACACATTCTTAGAAGTGCATCGCGAAAAGCTGACACTGCCAGAAGCAAAAGCTCGCTTTGAAAAAGATAAGCCGAACAAGCAGAAGAATCGTGACATCCTTTTGTTTTGCCGCGGTTGCAGTCCACAACCGCATCGACAAGAGAAACTGTTGCCACTTCGAGAATTCGTTTCGGCCTGGGACCAAGAGGAATGGTACCGCGTACTGTCAGACGGCATGTGTCGCCTTTGCACCCAGTGTAAAACGAAGCAAAGCAGCCCTGCAGCCAAGGTGAAGGGTTAAGACAGCGAATGCCTGCGCATATTGCCAGACCTTGCCAGCCGACCAGACCGGCTACTGTTCGAAGTGTGCCAAAATTCGCTTAGCCTGCAGCAAGTGTGATATCGGGAAGAAAATCAAAACAAAAAGCCTGCTAGATTTTAGCCCGGAAGAAATCGCACGAAGAAAAAAACCAAAGAACTCCGAAGAGCACGCTGCAAGAAGTGTGCTGTCGCCCCAGTGACAGCAAAGGCAAAACAGGGTTTGTGCAGCAATTGCAACAAAGCCGTCAGTGTGTCCCACCTGGTGAACTACAGTGCAGCATCCCAGACCGGCGTGTGCCGCAGCTGCGTAGCTAAGCAAGAGCGGGCACCCAAGACCTGCGCAAAGTGTGCTCAACCCTTGCATGCACATGCAACTCCAGGCACTTGGTGCACTACCTGCGCATTTCCGCCTTGCAGTGGAGGTTGTGGGCAGCCACGCCCCCAAAAAGCATCCAACCATGCCAAACAGAAATCCGACTGGTATTGTCAAAACTGCAAGGGAAAATGTGGCAACTGTGGCGGCACCTTGCCGCGTAACGCAGAGGCTGGCACATGGTGTGCCACATGTGCATTTCCACCATGCAGCGGCGGTTGCGGCGAGCCTCGCCCACGTAAAACAAGATACCACGCCCAGCACAAGCCGCAGTGGTTGTGTCAAGCATGCAGTGCACGCAATGGTTACCCGCCGTGTCCAATGTGTGGTCTTGACCGCCCGCAAGAAAGGCGTTACCATGTCAAAGTCATGCCGCACTGGACCTGCGAAGCCTGCACGGTAAAGTCTTGTCCCAAGTGCGGGGAAGTGCTTGGTGCAAAAGCACCAGACGGTGCATTGTGTTTAGCATGTGCATATCCACCATGTGAGAGCTGTGGGTCACCACGCCCGCAAAAAAGTCGTTACCGTGTCAACGTCATGCCGCAGTGGACCTGCGAAGCCTGCTCCGCCAAGTCTTGTCCCAAGTGCGGGCACATCCTTGGTCTAAAAGGTCCAGATGGTGCATGGTGTTTAGCGTGTGCATATCCACCATGTGAGAGTTGTGGTCGCCCACGGCCAAGGACGCGCAGTGAATACCATGCGCAGGTCATGCCAACATGGACGTGCGAGGCGTGCAGCGGGAACAGCCATACGGGGGTCCCAAAGAAAAGGCTTCGCAGAAGTTAATCGCCCATGCATCCGACGCAGCATCTGCAGAGCCACTGCCATGTGCAACCCGCAGCCAGAGTATCAGTCAGCCTTTCCATGACTCTGCAAGCGCACCGCGCATGCGTGCGCTTGCAAAACCTTCCCGCCAACCATGTTAGACCCCGCCACATAACCACCAGTAGCCCAACCAATAACGAACCCACAACTAGCCAACGCCTAGCGGCACGGCCGCGCGCAGAGCAGCGCTCAGCGCGACACAGATCAACCATTTTGTCAGCCACCGGTTGCCGAATCCACTATCACCTCAAGCCAGGTCACATAAGAAGAAAACCATTTGTTTAGCCCAGGTAATACATGTTAATAATCTCACCCAACCCCGTCCCGCGAATCCACGGGGCCGAAATGAGACCCAGGAACCATTTTTTCAGCCATCGGTTGCAGAATCCACTACCATCCCAAGCCAGTTGAAAATCTTCCAAATGACAGAGATCAACCATTTTGTTAGTTGAAACAGACTGCAGAAGACCGCAACAAATGTTATATTGTCCCTCAAGCTGCATGTGTTTTCGTACCGTGTTCTTTTCTGATTCTTTCGGGTGCTGTAGGACGAAATGACACGAAAAGTTTGTAAATCCACCACCACCATGGACAGCTTGCTTCCAACGTGTCAGAGGATAGTCCCACGAAGAACTGGCAGAGAGGAACCATTTTTGCTGCCACTTTTTACAGAATCCACGACGACCTCAAGCCACTTCACATGAGAAGAAAACCATTTTCTTAGCCCAGGTAATACATGTTAATAATCTCACCCAACCATACAGGTTAATAATCTCACCCAACTCCTGCATCCATGAAACAAGCGAAGCTTCCCAATGACAGAGATCAGCCACCACCCCAAGCCAGTTCATAATCTCCCCCGGCAGAGTCCCACGAAGAACAGGCAGAGAGGAACCATTTTTGCGGCCACTTTTTACAGAATCCACGACGACCTGAAGCCAGTTCATATGAGAAGAAAACCATTTTCTTAGCCCAGGTAATACATGTTAATAATCTCACCCAACCATACATGTCAATAATCTCACCCAACGCCTGCATCCGACGCAGCATCTGAAGAGCCACTGCCATGTGCAACACTCAGCCAGACCATCGTACAGCCTT